TTTACAAATTTCACAGATTGAAATCATGAGTCAGTTGAAGCTAGACCACCATTGAAAACCTGGAAGCACTGGACGGCCGTTTCGTCCTAGTATGGGACCCCTCAGCAGTGCGCATCCACGATCCCGCACCACGCGGGGCTCGAACCCAGGACCTACTGGCTTCGCGCGCGAGCACTTAACCACTAGACCACTGAGCCGGCATCCAACGGTGTTAATGTCTAACTTCAACCAATCCACGAAGTTGCGCCACCGTACACCATTGTCTTCAGTGAGTTCCTATCTCACAACAGACCTGGTTGAACTCCACTGGTAACGGCTTCTCACTAGAACTTCGGGAGTTTTTCCTGAAGTCAGTCACTAGTGAGCAGTTGATTATTATCAGAATGGGTTTTGTGGAGATTTTACAAATTTCACAGATTGAAATCATGAGTCAGTTGAAGCCCCGCGTGGTGCGGGATCGTGGATGCGCACTGCTGAGGAGTCCCATACTAGGACGAAACGGCCGTCCAGTGCTTCCAGGTTTTCAATGGTGGTCTAGCTTCAACTGAATCATGATTTCAATCTGTAAATCACTTAATATAACTTTTGTAATTTTGTTTGTTTCTAGTGAACTATTAAACTGTTATCTACTTTAAAATACCTATCAAAATATTGAGTCCTATTTATTTCAAGTCTGAATGTGAACATCTTGGTTACTATGTAAGTGATAATAAATTTCACTAACTAGTGAAAAATTTCTAATGATTAGATAGATCAGGCTTTAAATGGGATTTAAAAAATAGCTTTATATATAAGTATGTTACTATCATCGAAGTTGATATGTTTCGTTACTTACTTATTCTATCTTTTGATGTTTACTCAATCGCGGTAGATATTAAATCTTCAAGTTGGATTTTAACAAAGAATCTTATCAGTAAATACTTAATAATTAAAAATTATGTTAATAAACGTCACGTATGTGTAGAATAACTACAAATATTAATAAAATAAACCTTAATACTTGAGATATTCAAAGATTTTCTGATAAAAGTTCTTGTTAATAGTCAAGTCAGACTATTAAAACACTTAATGAAGTTAGATATTGACACCATTGGATGCCGCCTCAGTGGTCTAGTGGTTAAGCGCTCGCGCGCGAAACTGATAAGTCCTGGGTTCGGATCTCGCGAGGCGGAATCGTGGATGAGCACTTCTGAGGAATCCCACAATGGGACGAGTTGGTCGTGTAATGCTTCTAGGTTTTCCATGGTGATCTACCTTCAACTGACTACTGAACGCAACTATTAAATTACTATAATATCCACAAAACCCCTTCTGATACTTATTGAAAAGTTGCTACTGGCAGTGCTACTCCTTATAGTTAGATCTAAAACTCCTGGATCCAATCTCATTTGTCATTCTTTGAATTATTGATTAACATATATATGACTGTAGAAACTGAAGAGAGTTTATTTGTTTATATATCTGTGTCTTAAATGTTTTTTTGTCTATATACTACAAAACTATTTTAATTATGATACAATAGAAATATATCACATTTTTGTATATTCAAAAGAAAAAAACCTGGGGAAGTAACATACGAGTTTTCTTTCAGTATTTCTAAGATTAATAATATTATCTTCGACATTTCACATGTAATGTCGGTTGCTTTGCTAAGCCCATATACCTTATTCTAGCTTTCCGACAGGCCAATCTATTCATTCCACTTGAGTCACATTTTGACCCTATTAATTATTCGCTTATCAATCTTGACTATTTTTATATGAGCGTATATATGTGTGTGTACATTACTTAACCCATTCATCACATGTCTGTGACCCATTTTTGTGTGACCATAAATATTGATTAACGCTTGATTAAATCGAGTTGGTTCACACACCTTCTCCGCTGTTCATCATTTCGCTTCGCTCTTTTCTCTTTCCTTCTCGGTTATTTTGTCCGAATCAAAGATTGTATGAAATATACTTATTCGAAATTCATTCTCATATTTGACTTACTTAATTCCGTTATTGACTAACACGATTTAAGTCGATGATTATATACGAGGATAAGTGACATATACATTTCGACAGTAATCATTCAATAATACTGATTCATACGATCTACTTGGAGTCAGATCCCGGGCCACTAATTACTTAAAAGTACTGCATTAGGCACAAATTTCTTTAATCCCTTTGATAAATTTCGATAATGCAATGAGTAGATAAAGTTTATCAGAATTATGTAATATATAATGCATAAACTTTAATAGTCGATTCATACATTATTATCAAGTCTATTGTTCGTGTAACATTAAGTATTTGTACCAGAAATAATCCATTTAACAATTCACAAGTTAACCTACTCTACTAACCTGGTTTTTTACTCAATAACTATCCATTATATATGATTATTAGGTATGCATCAAATATGTTGCAGATTAGTACGTTGTTGAATTGGATGTCAGCAGGTCACAGAAAACTCTGATTTTATGGTTTCCGCTACATAAAACTTTTTATCTAGTCGTTTACTTATCAACGAGAGAATTGATTGAGTCCATAGAATTTGAACTCTCATTATGCATTAAAATGGTTAGTGGGTTTTATAGAATAGACATTTTGGTTAATATTGGTCTTTTTTAGGACTGATATGTTTACACATTGGTTTAGTCAGCAGTAACCGATGTTACACTGTCTCCTTCAATAATCTTAATGTTCATTTATTTAGACTAGCAATTTTACCGATAAAATTTTATCAACATTGAAGTTTAATTATCAATGACTGTTTAATAATCAATTCTCATGTAATATAAACAGTTATTTCCTCGTGGAATGGATGAATGCTTGAAGTCACTAACTTCTAGTCTGAGCCATGTTGACAGATGCAGACTACTTGGTTGTGGTTCGCGTGTCTATTGAAACCAATGATTTGAGACTCTTGGTGACATGGCTCAGAATCGATCACAATGGTGTCGGTTTATACACTCTTTGTCTTCCCTTAAACTATGAGATTATAATTGCTTTATATCTTTCTTTCTATGAACTAATTCTTTCTTCCTGTACTATATCCTTATTGCAATCTTTCTTTTATATATTAGCACCACTGAATGGACTAATTCTATGAATCTGGCGTTCATCTTGTCGTACTAATGGGATATGGCAACTTGGACCGATACACATATGTACCTGGTCCTACGTTGTAGCGGACTGACTGACTGTACTGCTTAGCAATACGTTAAATTAAACCAGGAAAGTATAACGTGAATTTTTTATGTAGATATTTTAAAAGATTTTGTTTATTTTACGTTTTACTATTTTGAATTATAAATAACGTGTTTATTTAAGCAAATTTCTATAAAATGTTGTTAACTGAAGTACATTTATGAGTGGCCTCATAAGGGTAAAGTGATACTAGTAATGTTTACACTAACTGTAGTAGGCAACTAATACATGTGATATAAATGAGATAAATTGTACTTTAAATGTTATTTATCATTCAAAATGGGACGACTTAGGAAGATAGACTACTCATAATTCTTTTGAATTTTCTGAAGTTACTGTAGTTTCTAATCACTAAGTGATACAAGTTTGAATTATTAATTATTATTTTCAGAAGGTTTTGTGGAGATTTCAGTAATTTAATAGTTGAATTAATGAGTCAGTCGAAGCTAGATTGTCATGGAAAACCTGGAAACACTGAAATGTCGTCGGAAATCCACAGCAGTGCACATCAACGCTCGAGACCGATAGGTCCTGGGTTCGAATCCTGAGGGGTTAGATCGTGGTTGAAAGAAAGCTGAGTGCTCAAACCAAGTATCAGCTCATGAATTCATTGACTGTTAAAGTAAGCCGTGTTAACATGTACTGAATATCAAGTTCTGGTTAGCACGATTACCACAACCAATAGTTGAAGACGTCGGGTGACTCAATTAAGAATCGACCTAAGTGGCACAGATACTTTCACTCTTCCTCTTCCTTTCTATCATGATTTTTGGCATTATCTCATACTTTGTTTTTCGTGAACCCATTCTTCCTTCTCGTGCCATACGGCCTATGTCTAATCTTTTGTACTAACACTGATAATACTACTGCTCCTACTATGCTGACATAGTGCGGCAACTTTAATCGATGCACATATGTTCCAAGTTGTACACTGCTCATGATTAACTAATTGTCTGATAGTTTGTTAAGGAACTATAATGGCATATTTTCGTGAATAGTGAGGTGCTAACTTGGAAAAACTCCCAAGACATCTGACCTAAGCTAGATAATGAACCACTGACTTACTAAACGAGAAGATAATTAGATTGTTCACAGGATTATCAATGCTTAAGTCTCATTATTTCACTCGTTATTTGAACAATTATTTTACAGATATTTTTTCAGAAGATGTATACAACACTGAGGATAGCCCACGTTTTAAACAGCAGGAATCATCTGAAAAATCTATGAGAACTACATTAATATTGAATGTGGTTATGCTAGAAATGAACAATTGCCATAACTTTTAGTACACTCTAAAAAACTTATATATATTTGGTCAGTAGCTTAGAGTGGAATCTAGGATGAGCATTTCGTTCTGTTTGAGACTCTAGCTGGATGTACCTGAATTCATGAGTTAATTTTCATGATGAGGCTCAAATCCAGCATCATAAGCTTTAAATGCCTAAGCGTTTTTTCATTGAGATATTGAGTTCAGATAGCTAATAACTTGTTTAAATAGTATGTAAGCATTATTAGGTTTTTGTGATTCTAAGCTATTGGTTGGATGAACTCACTAGTTCATCGGATAACATGTTGACGTTTGAATTAGAAGGTATGAGGTTCGAGTATTTGTATGAACATCAATACTGGGATGCAGATAAATCCAGCTGACTAGCCCGAAGTAGAACAAAACACTCATCCGGTAATACATGAATCCTAGATCACACGAGTTACCCCCTATTCTTTCTGAATTGTCTCAGTTAGGCTTCCTGTATCCAAGCAAGTCCTATAGACACTTGATAACTGGAAAAAGTCATTTTTATGGGGAGAATGTATATTTACTTGGTTAGTATGACTTCATAAACCAGCTAATACTATGAAGTACAACAGTAAATGTTGTTCTTATTAAGAAAAGTAACGTATGGCGGTATTTAAGAACAAAAATAAGAATAAGACAGAATTGATCTGAAAGTTGGTTTAATCTTAAATCATAAGAAAGATGTTAGTTAGTTATGATGTCGACTAGTTGTGCTAAATATTGAGGGGCTTCAATTTAGATAACATTTGGATGATATAATGGTTTAATAAGCATGATTAGCAACGAATAATGATTTGTCTCCCAAAGCAGTTCCCATATTTCCTTCAAATTTGCCAACTGCAGCAGCACCATTTGCCTAGAAGATTGAAATAATTGTAAGTTAGTTCGTGTATTCAATAAGAGCATTAATAACAAACTAATATGTGTTAAAAACACTTACACAAAGTTGAAATGTCTTGTAAAGAATGTTTTACAAAACCTGTTTATTTGGATTATTTTTTAACAGAAATAAAAGAGTTAAAATACGAAAGCGTCTGTTATTATTTGAACATTGTAATAACATGTTAAAAAGCCCTTAGAAGTCATCTGCATTATTTGCGTTCCTGTATCTTGTTTTAAAGATCACAATGAGTTATCGACTTCAACAAAAACATTAGCAGTTGACATTGAGCAATTCATCTTATTGATGAATTAAAAGGGGTACAAAAGGTACTGATGAAATCTGTTATCAACTCCCAACAACATTTATATGTGTTGGTAGTTCTAGGACTTGAATGTTTCTTCTACCTTTCAAAAGGGTAAACAAACTTAAATGTGGAATGAAACCAAACAGTTTTATTAAAATCAACATAAACAGATGTAACAGTAAGCTCATATATTTACTTTGGCCAATTTCAATAGCTCTTCCTGAGCCGCATGAACATTTTCTTTCTTTCCCTTCCATGTGGCTAAAACTGAAGCCTGTAGAGCACGACCAAAACTAAAAGTGAGTGCCCATGGCTTTGGTCCCGGAATCTTGTTGATTTCGTTCAGATTTTTAGTAGCGTCCAATTCTGATTGACCTCCAGATAAAAATGTGATACCTAAAACCAAAGAGTTAAAAACGAAGACATTTGATTGTAGTCCACTGTGGCTTGTTCAAGATCAATTAACCAAAAGGTAAAATCATACCTGGGACAGCTGGAGGGACTGTGCGCTGAAGGGCTCGCACAGTAGCTAGAGCATTTTCCTGCGGTGTGTAAGCTTTTTTGCAGGCCTGTCCAGCAGTGACCATATTGGGTTTTAAAAGTGTTCCTTCCAAATAAACATGATGATCGGCTAAAGCCTTGTACACGAATGCCAAAACTTCTTCTGTTACTCTTTGAGCAGTTAGTAAATCATGATCACCATCAGGAAGCACCTCAGGTTCAACGATTGGTACCAAACCATTCTAAAATTTACAATGTTTGCAAAGAATCATATTATTTGAAGCTCTCATACCATGCAAATAGAAATAATTAAAGTAACTAAATAGATAATAAAGATGAATTATCGAATAATTTGTCAGGGTATGAATATGATTAGAATTTTGAAATAGATCTTATAACCTTTGATGCCACAGCAGGTCAATGTCCACTTTCCACTACTCCGTCTTTAACAACCTCACACCTCCACTGAGTATTTTGAACGATTTTTCTTTACAAGGAAGGTCTTTAAATTAAAATCACACTTTACTACTAGCTTTTATTATGACTAAACCACATTATAACTGTTCTTAAACTCAAAGAAAAGAACTAAAAAGAAGAAAGTTAAAAATTTATTACTTAGACGTTTTTCTAGGAATCGTAAAGCAAAACAGAGCTTCAACTCCCAATCAGGCCCGAAAATTACGAACTAAGGCTGAATTTCAATTCGTAAACATTTAGTGCATGACCCAAAATAAAACACTAGTGTTAATTATGTAGCGGTGGTTTTTTATAACGATAATTGAAATCGTTAAATAGTTTTAGGTTTAGCATTATGGAGGGAATATATGTAAATATTGACTGTCCAAGAAAGATAATTATATGTCCAAACTGCTGGATCTTTTTAGACAACAAAAATAGTTTGAAACTAGTATTGAACCTGAGATTTTTCTGTCGACCAGAAAAGAGAAATTAACTTACAGCTAAGACTCTTAAATACTTTTTATCTACAACAAACGTTCATAAATAGTAAATATTGAGTATTATTTTATTTGCTAAACCCATAAGTAAACATCTGGATCATAAAGACGTTTCTTCAAGTGCTTATCAGGAGCTTCTAAGTTTTTAATCTTCCACCCATCGTTACTGATAATGGTGGTCTCATCTCATAACGCGTCCTACATATGAATAAGGCACCACCACAAATGCATTTTCGCACGGTATTATTAGCTCTGGAAATGTAGTTTTATTTTCTTTTTAATAAACTCTAAATAACTTCCGAGAATGGATGATTTGCCTTAGCTGTATCCAAAACAAAATGATCTGATATGTACTGAATTAATAATCTGAACTGATAAAAGATAATCTAAAATCATCATAGTTTGTATGACATAAAACTTGATTGGGATTTTAATGAAATGGGGATTTAAGACCCGTAGATTATAGTCGGTAAAAATAATGAACTTGCCGACGTCGACGAATATACCTTATAGTCTCTCTCTCTCGTAGACTCTGTGCGAAAACAGAACTTGTATTTAATAACAGAAATACTGAACAGTCAGTCATCTACAACGTAAAACCAGGCACATATATGCATCAGTTTAAATTACTGTACCCCATTTTCACAACAAGATGAACACCAAATTCATAGAAGCAGTAACTTTAATGGTAGTAATATATAAAAAAGACTGCATATAAGGATATGATACATGGAGAAATAATTAGTTTGTAGAGAAAAGTAGAGTGGTTTTAATATCAAAAGTGTACACATCTGAGCCATTGTGGTCGATTTTGAGTCATGTCACCCAGAGTCTCCGACCACTGGTTACAATAGCCGCGCAGACTCCAACCAAGTAGTCTGCATCTGCCAAGACGTCTCAAACAGATATACGCATTGTTCCTTAGAAGTTGATTGAATGTCTCTATGGGTACTAAAACGGGCTAGGTGTATATCAATAAACAGTTCAATGTACCATTAAGTTATGATATGTCTGTGATCAACCACTATTAAAAGATTATTTTAGGTGATGCAAGTCCTCATACGATGAGAAAGATAAAAGGTGAATCTCAAGCTAACATCAAGTCGTAGAACGACAATTTAAAGACAAAATTAATGTCAGATAAATATATCTCGATGATTAACGGAACTGCAAGAATAATATATCTTCTCTAGAAATATTCAGCATTATAATTTTGAAGTCATTGGAAATCAGGAGCTTATGAACCACAGGTGACCGCTAAATGATGGCTGCATGTCCTCCGGCCTGAAAGCAAGGCTTGTCAGAGCTCTAAAAAATACAAGTCTCACTGCTTATCCCCAACAAATATCAGACGTTATTTCATATATAAGGTTCTAACAATCTGCCATTAAATCACAAAATGTATGTACTAGAATTAGTCTGGTAAGTGAGATTTTAACCGGCAACGCGGCTTCTGGGTATATTTTTTTAATTTTTTGATTGCTGAGTAGAGGAAGTCAACATCCTTTTATATTTTACTAAATTTTAAGATGCCATCTTATTTCCCAACCCTTTATTTTTACCAATTATCCAACTGTTAACATACGCTCTTTGTCAAAAACTTACAAAAGAATTTTAATGAATAGAATGTTTTTGTATGACGAGTAAACTAACCTGCTGACAGATGGAAGCATAACGTGCAAGTACATTGGCATTTTCGAGCATAGCTTGATATGATGGTGTGTGTGGAGAGATCTTCAAAACGCAACGCCACTTAGCAAAGCGGCATCCAAGTTTATAATATTCAGCACAGCGTGAAGCAAGATCATCAAGACCCTGAGTTGTTGTCTCATTATCTGTGCCTGCAAGTGGAACAACGCCTTTGTCAACCTTTATTCCTGGTATGATGTTCCGTTCGGCCAGTAGAGTAGGAAGAGTCTTTCCATCGTCCGACTTTTGATGAAGTGTTTCTTCAAATAATATTACTCCAGAGATATTTTCGGCCAGTTTGTGGTCAGCACTAAAAAGTAGCTGGCGGTACAGACGACGATTTTCTTCGTTATTTTCAACGCCGATTTGTTGAAGCCTTTTACCCATCGTGGCTTTTGAAATTAAATTAAATGGAAATTAAGGCGGAAATACCTGTGCTTTCGTCAGCTGCTAGAATTCCTTTACCAGGAGCACAAATAGCTTGAGCGATTCGGCGTAGGTCATTCTCTTGAGCTTCAGTTAAGTAAAGATGAAAGCGTGACATTTTATCACAGTATGATACACCTAAAATTTGCTGATTTAGCTATCCAGAATGTAATAAGACCTACTGTAAAGAAACGAACTGGTTACGAACTTTAATCACGTACACAACTACTTATGGTCAGAGTACAAATGGTTAATATACCTTTAGCTCACTAAAACAAACAGTACAATAGTAGCCCTAAAATCAATTGAACGCTTAAGGACTTCTTTATTCTTAATTACTCTTATCATCGTTTCCTTAAAAACATTGGATAGTGGTAAGGAAATTTAATTCCATAGGTTTGTGTTAGTATGTTAGTAATACCTAAGGCTGCTATGCAATCATTATCTACTTGCTGCGGATATGAAAGATTTCGGAAGTTTATGCTCGCATATTCAGCTGGTCACTATTTATAGGACGTCGTTGTACAGGAAAACAATGAAAGTTGCAGATGAGCGTGGTCACTATATACTGAAATAAAGCTTCCGAAATAACAGAACCTAGTAGCAAAGTTTTTAACTTGTACAATCTTGAAACTGGAGTATTTAATTGCAAATCATAGTGAAACTCACTGAAGTAATACCAAAGAATTTGTTCGAAATAAGAAGCTCTTGCTTCGAGAGTATTTTTCAGAGTCCGGTCATATTCCTTTTATATTTAAATAATATAACCAATCTGATTTGTCTGTTAAATGACATTATTACAGATCAAAGACTTCGTCCTGCAAAACGTGGACGTCTTAACGCTTTTGAGAGAGTTAGGGAACTAAAACCCTGGTTGAAAAATATTTGAACGAGATTTGCATCATAAACATCTCATGTCTGTTTTGATTATACGACATTTCAAACACTGGGTAATCCAAATAATGGATTGAACTGGAAAGTGAATAGCAAGCGTTAGGTGTTCTTTACTTTTATTTTATTAATCCATGTGGTAGGCCAAATTCAACAATGGCAAACAAAAGGCGACTGAAGCTCAGTGAACTTCAGTTATAGAGCTAATTTACTGGTGTGACGAGGATGATGTGCTTGCATATAAATACTCCCCAATCGCACAAGCTTGGTGTTATTAGAATGTCGTTCATGTAATTTTTCAATCAGGACCTCAGAATGACACTTAGCGATATTGCAAATGAATATCGGCGTCTAACAAATCAGCACTGTTTGGAGAGTGAGGAGTAGTCCTTCAGCACCATGCTGGCACTCTGGTGTATGGGATTTTGTACGAACTTCTTCATTCGAACAACACCGTCACAGGAAGCGTAAAGCCATTGTTGATAAAGATGGATTCCGTCAAATGAGGAAACTGAATCGGTTACCACACCGGTTGAAAAGTAATAGATGGCCTGCTTCTAAATCCTGTACAAATTCCTTGAGCGTAATCGCGTCCTATCAGAACACAACCTTAGGTGGAAGAGAGTTTGGGAATAAAATTGGCAGCCCACGTGTGTGGTTGACAACACAAAAGCCTCGTACAGTGTGTCATAGCTATCCGAGAATCGGCAAAGATCCTCATTGAAGGAAGTTTGAGGACGATCAACAAACTGATGCGCAGTATGCGCAATCCAATCTAATCCTAATAAATCTAAATCGTGTCGATTTGTGAGATAACAAACATCTGTGAATTTACTTCCCATGAGTTGAACGTTGCATAGAACCTCTCCTGTCAACTTTACTATGTCTCCTGAAGCATTTCGGGCGACATGTTCCGTCGGTCGGATGCATGGGCATCCTAACTTGTGCCATGTGTTCTTTGAAATCAACGTGACATCAGAAGCAGTGTCCAACTGAAGTCGTATAAGTTTTTCATTTACTAATAAATTTACATATTTCCGCCTACTTTTAAACCCAACTTTGAAGGTTGCAAACGTGGTTTTAATTAGACTGTTTGATCGATGCTTCGAATTTTCACTACGATGTTTAGTCTTGCGTTTATTTAACGAACAATGACCTTCTTTGTGGCCAATGCGATGACATTTGCGGCATTTATGATTCTTAAACGGACAGAATTTTGCAAAATGCCACACTCCGCAGAACCAGCATGGTGATGGGGGGTTTGGCAGGTTGTTTCATGCTTGTACTGTTTTGTTTCGATGATTTTGAGGATCGGAGCGCATTAATTGAACCAGAATCGGAAGGTTTAACCTTCTGTTGCAGCATCGCGGTATCATGCTTGAGATTTAGTAACCTCTGACATTCAGTTGTGACCATTTGTAATGTCATATTTGGTTCTTGTTCAATGCGTGCCAACATCCTGGTAAGGATATCTGCATCTTCTGCATTCTTTAGACCACATATGAAAATCAAGCATTTAAATTAGTCCGCTGTGATGTCGTTTATTTTGAAGCGTACGCACTGTCGATTTACCTTCTCATCATACGTGAGGTAATCGTCCTCTGGAGATTTCGTTATTTGGAAACATTTATAGCGAGTATTAAATAATGAGGACTGTTCATCGAAAATATCAGATAGAATCTGGACTGTCTTTGAATGATACATCTCGTGGATTTTGTGGTAAGATAAATTTCACATATTTATTGTATTCCTGTGTTCCAAGTCTTCTTAAGAGTAAGCGGACTTTAGCTGCGTCGTCAAGATGTGAGCATTCGACGCGGAAAATGTCTTAACAACGGTGAAACCACGAACTGAAAATGACATCAGCTTCGGGATCATAATGAAATTCAGAAATAGAATTTACGATGCTTTCATACTTATCTGATTGACAAGTTGAGGACGACTGTAATGAGAGCATTCGTGCCAATGCATCCAAAAGCTTCGTTTGATTTGCACCATTTTGTGGTTGCTGCATTTGAAGAATAGTTTTGAGGTCATCCAATCATACAGACATTTTGTTCTGGATCAGTCAACATAGAAAATTTTAAAAAATCTATGTCGCCAGTTGTTATGACCTTGAATCGTTTTTACCCCGTCGATACTTGGTTATGACTAGACCTTGATCTGTCTAGTCTAGATTATGACCTTGACGCGATAGGCTGGGCGGCTTAGCCTTGAGTCTAGTACGCGTTAGTTCGAGATGGGGTAGAGAGAGAACTATTCTAGAACCTGATTGGTTGGCAAGCACGCAAGTGAGAGAAGACAGGACAGTTGGAACACTGAATTCTCAATTCTCTGAATTCGGATTAGTGCAAAAATGTACATGAATAAATAAGTGAATATCCTGACCACAACGTACGATAATTTGGAAAAGTGCAATTATGCCCGAAACTGGGAATTAGGGTAGAAAATAAGATGCAAAATATTATGTTTAAATTACAATATTTTCGGAACAAAAAAGGGTATGGCAGTGAATGTTATATAGAACGAAAGCTCATGTTATGTAGAATAAAATAGGGACAAAAATGAATATAAGTGTTTTAAAAGGTTTGAATGAAATGAAGTAACGTCCCAAGAAAATAGCTTTCGTAGTTGCCTGGGCTTCTTATTTCCCCGTTCACAACACAGTCTAAGTCGAACATCCCAGCTGTTGAACGGAAGTCAACTGATGATCTGGTCGCACAGCCTACCCCCAAGATTGTCCGTCCGGTCATCGAACAACCAAGGATTCATAAACGTGCTTCGACCCCCAAACAACAAGGTGCTAAACGTGAACGCACTGGAGAACCTGGGACGACAATAACGGTTCGTGATGACTCTCTCATGGTCATGAACTTCAAAGACAACCCTGACCTTCCTCTTAGTTTGCAGGACAAAAATGATAGGATGTTCTGGGGAGAATTGAACAAGAAACTTGGATTTCTAAGAATAGAGCCTTTGACAGTCACACGGCTCACTCGGGGAAATGAAACTAAGCATCAAAATCACCCGAGGCTACTTCGTGTAACACTTAATAATGCTACCGACGTAGAGGATGTCTTACTAGCGAGTCATTTACTGAAGTCAGATGGGAATGTAAGAATACTGCCTGACATGCCATATTCTGAGCGCAATCTCATCCGGAACATCCCCAAAGAAACTCGCGATCAGTTTTTCCGGGGGAGGAATATAATGGTACAAGGTATACCGGAAAATACGGACCCTACTCAATCAAAGACTGACATCAGGGAATGGAAATTCATCAAACAATCCTTGAGGCTCAAAAACCTACTGACTCAGCATGTGACGAGACTAGCCAAGAAGGATGGTGATCTTAGACCCCGTCTAATGAAGATAACCTTCCCATCTTCCCACATGGCGGCTGCAGTTCTGGAAGCATTTTGTGCCAACAGACGTCGATTGCCACCTGGAATCCACGTGCACCCGGATAGGCCATACGAAGCTGGGACCAAACACAAAGGCAAGTTGGAGCTGACCATTCCACTTGTGAACTGTCTAGACGATAAAAAAACGTGCAAAGGACAGAGCCTATCACCTCGGCAAACCTCATATAGGTGGGCTACCTGTCCATTCACATAAGGCTCATACAGACAAACAGGAAGAAGCTCACGCGTTCCAAATTAAGAGCATAAACTGCTTATATATGAAGGCTGCGAGTCTACCAAACAAATTGGATGAATTACGTGAACTTAGCAATTCTAATAAGGCTCACCTGATAGGAATATCTGAAACCTGGATATCTTCTCGGTTCTCGGACCATGAGTTAGCATTACCTGGGATGTCTTTGTTCCGCAATGACAGATGATCAGGATATCGGGGCGGAGTAGCTGTTTACATACGTTCTTGCTTGGAGGTGCATCAAGTTCATAACCTCGAGTTTAACAATCTTGAGGAATATATATGGTGCGCTGTAAGATTGTCTAGTACTTCGAGGAGTCTAGTCGGAGTCATTTGCAGGAAGCCAACTGCCGACATCGAGTGCGATAGTCGTATGCTGGGAGGACTATACCGCTCAACTCGTCTTGGTTTCACACACATCCTGATTCTAGAGGACTTTAATCTCCCTAGAGTCAACTTCGCGGAACACACGTACACTGCAGGCGACAACTCAATTGAAGCTCGGTTCTTCAACCTCATTGATGACTTGGGATTGTACGAAAATGTGAGGTCGGCAACTCGTTGAAGAAACAGTCAGACGCCATCGCGCTTAGACTATGCATTCACAAACGAAGAATTTCTAGTTGACAACCTCTCAATCTTAGCTCCTCTGGGAAAAAGCGATCATGCCGTCATAGCC